AGCAGAGACCTGTGCCCACAACTATTTTTGGATGATAAACATTTGTATCAGGTCAACAAAACATGGGCGTAGTAACAATATTTTTTATACTACATTTATCCATTTTAAATACACTAACCTCACTCCTTTGTAACAACTAAGGCAAAAATGTAATTAATTCAGAAAATCTTTTCAGGACCCCACCTTGATGTTTCAGGACCCCACTTTGGGTCCCGACCTGTACTTTGGGAAACACTGTACTAAACCATGTGTTTGATAAACAGTACAAATGCACAAAAAAATGTAATAATCGTATTTTCAGCATCACAGAAAAGCCAGTCCAGTGAACATTTTCATGTTTTAGCTTCTTTTGGTTCAAACTTTGGACATCACAGAGTGAAACTGGAACAGAGCCTGAGTGGCAGAAAAGAAAAAGAAAAAGAWAAAAAGAACTGGAATCCAGAATTGAAAAAGTAATGGCCTAAAGCGGAGCTATTGGGATTGACATCTGCCATCAAGCMCTTCAAGTGGGGGTTTCCATGGTTACTGGCTCCGCAGCCCCTTCACCCCAGATGTTCCCTCGGAGCGAACAACTCCGACGCCATCATCCCAATGGAAAACGACGACGTGCGGACAAAACCATCCGCCTCTGATTACTTTCATTCCTTCTAAACATTAGTGTTTGTTAGAACCYGCAGGACGTGTGTTCCGGGTCAGAACCGAACAACGTGGCGTAATTATTACTCRTTCCTCGGTGCGTCAGCCAGCTCTGGAGGAGAAGCCTTTTTTTTTTTTTTGGTCAGCATCACTGGCTCCGGTGGTCCAATCACATCATCTCACACTTTAAATGACAGGAAAGTGTGTGTGTGGTGTGTAACCACTTGTGTGTGTGTGTGTTTCCTACATTTCTCCAGATGATCAAACAAAAATGTTTGTTTACAACCCTGGGAAAAAAAAGTGTGCATTAATGTCGCCTCCACTCTCTTTTCATTAGGTGTGTGTCACACTGGGCAATCCACTCATTCATCCCCTCCAGCAGATGTGTGTGTCATGCAGATGTGTGTGTTTGTGTCATATCCATTTGAGTGYGACATATTGGCAGATTCTCTCGGCTGACAGGGAAGCTGAGGCCAGCTTGTTTGTAGTATTCATGAGACGCCTCCACGCCACGCTTCCCACAGCAGCCTGGGCTGAAGCTCATCCAAGGCACGGTGTTACAGCAGCACCTAGTGCTCCGTGTGTGGAAACTTCCTGATCACAGACCTGCAACCAGACACACTTACTGCTTTTATTCTGTTGCACTTTACTTGTTTTTTTTTCTTTTTGCTCATGTTTTGTGCACTGCAAAAACTGTCTATCTTACCAAGTTTTAAAAYCTTATATCAGCCAAAAAGTCTTTTCGATCTTGTTTTGAGACTGATTTACTAAACAAGAACTGATTGTGTAAGAATAATCATCTTGTTTTCAGAATGTGTAAGATTATTTGTCTTATTAGTCTGAAAATTTGACTCAAATTAAGTCAAAATTTTCTGTCAATGGAGTAAGAACATTTAACTTGGTAAGATTCTTGAAATAAGAAAAAATTGAGTCAAATCAAGTATTACCTTAAAAGTATTTACATATTGTAGATTTGACCCACAGCCCTCGGATAATATTAATTTTGGCCCGCTCAGGGAAAAAGGTTTGGCACCCCTGGGTTAAACATTAACCTTTAACTTTTTTCTGTGCCTAAATTGTTGTCTAAACCAAAATTTCAAACGTCAGTGTTCCTCCTTAGTGAAGCTCCAGTCAGCAGTTATTTGCTGTGTCCAAAACAGCAGGMCGGGTCCTCCGAAGGTCGAATTCGTCGGCTGCATACGTCACAGCGCCGCGACGAAGGACGTCCAAAACC